AGCAAATTCTTCTGGTGGTCATGAAAGGAAAACGAGAGTTGATTGTTGAAGCGTTTTACACAATTCTTATTTATGGGAAATGTGTACGATAAAACATCTTTATAGAAATATGCAATTATTTGGATGTAATACATCATCACAATCGCTTCATGAGATACATGAATTTTCTAATTGGATAAATTGTGTCGGAGAAGGAAAAATACCTTACCAAAATTTTGGTGATGGGGACGAATCAAGTTGGATAGAGATACCAGATGCATTTATTATTCCGAATACAGAGAATGCTCTATCTTTTTTTATTAATCAAACATATCCAGATTTGAAGGAAACATATAAATATCCTATATTTCTCCAAGAAAGAACGATTTTGGCACCGAAAAATGAAGATGTTGATAAAATAAATACGATGATGCTCTCCATGCTTCCTGGTGATCTTCACGAATTCTATTCATCGGATTCTTTATGTGTAAGTGGAGCAACTGATACAGACCATTGCTCATATCCTCAAGAGGTTATAAATTCTTTCAAAGTTTCTGATGTACCAAATCATATTTTGAAACTTAAAATAGGAGCACCGATTATCCTATTAAGGAATCTAAACCAGTCATTGGGTTTATGCAATGGTACACGATTGACTGTTGTAAAGCTTGGTACAAAAGTATTTGAAGCTCGAATAATGACAGGATCACGGGTCGGTGAACATGTCTTTATACTACATATTGTATTTACTACAACAGAGACTCAAACAATCATCCCAATAAAAAGAAGACAATTTCCAGTGAAATTAGCCTGTCGATGACAATTAATAAGAGTCAAGGACAATCTTTGAAGAAAGTTGGTTTATATCTTCCGAATCCTGTATTTAGTCATGGACAGTTATATGTTGCATTATTTAGGCTATCAGATCCTTCGGGATTAAAGATCTTGATTTGTAATAAATTAAGCATACCGGATCACTGTACCAAAAATATTGTGTACCATGTGGTGTTAAATGCAATAAAATGTTGATTTTTATTTAATTTCTAACAAATTACATATTATTCGGTATTATATGTTACTTATTAGTTATATTATTTTATAATTGAATTTAAGTTCCATATTGATTAAATTATACAGGCACATCAAATATCATATACAAGAATTTAGATTCATTAATGCCCACCAGTGAAGACTATAACATTGAAGTACGAGTGATAAGAATTACTGAGTTCACAGGTTTAACTTACAAGAATAAAACAATTAGACTGGTCGTTGTGGACATCAAGGTATAACTTTGAAAATTTTTAATCAAATGAATTAAATAACAATATTAACTTTTTTTTGTTTTTTTTTTAGGGATTTTACATGGAAGGAGTTATATTTGATGCTGACGATGTCATTTCTGTCACAACTCTTGGCGAAAGAGATTTATATAGAATATATAATGTAATAGTTATAATGGCCCCACAAACTTATAAATTTCTTCTGCATTCATATAGATTGTTGTTATGGCAAAATTCAATATTAGAAAAAATAAACGCTCCTAATAACGAGTACCCTCGCCACATCTTCAGCATATTGAGCTTTTCAAATCTAAGTTGACATGCGGATGATCAAATACAACTATTTGGTATGAATTTCTATTTTTTTTAATATATTTATATTTTTCAATTTTCAATTTTTCTCTAACACATGAAACAATGTAGATGTTTTTGGCATTGTTGCATATGTGGCGCCTTCATTCCATAATCATTACAGACAACTTACGAGAGAAATTCTTCTTATAGATACAAGGTATTACTTATATAAATATATATATTTCTGTTAAATAAACCTAACATATTTTATACTTATAATAATAATTAGTATGTCAGTTGTACGGATAATTTTACATGATTAATTAGCAATGCTGGAAGGAGAAATATTATTTCAAGATCTTCAAAATAACAATATCATTGCAGCATGTGGAGTCATTGTAAAAGATTCATTTGGTATTATTATTATTATTATTATTATTATTATTAATGTTGTTATTGTTCTTGTTGTTATTATGCACTACCTTTTCTTCAAATCGGGTGATTCACAAAAAAATACAATAATTGCGAACATGAACAGAAAGATACATTGCTTTTTTGGTATGCGTTGTTGTTATTATTATTATTATTTTTTTTTTTTTTTAGGTACAACACTGATAAAAAAATCACAAATATTGGTATCATTTTTGCGTACAAATTCATTACTCACTTCAAAATTAATTCAATTCAAATGCAAAAAGAATTTGCATACGTGATTTCAAACATCAACCATGAGTAAGTTTTATTTACTTTATTTTTACAATTAATTTATTCTAACTCATAATTTTAATTTTCTTATTTTTATATAAAGGTCAAATTTTTCCATATTATTGAACGAATCCAGCATATTGATGTTCAAACTCTCTGGACTGCCACTTGTAACAATTGCAGAAATCTATGTGAAACTCACTTCACAAAGATGGTATGTATACATTGCAACGATACAGTGGAAGCAAATTTAAGGTAATATATAATCAAATATATAAATACATCGCAATATTTTATTTATATTATATTTATATTTTATATACAATTTTCAATGTAGACATGATGTTAACTTGACGGTGAAAAATGGTACCGGAAATATAAATTTAAATTTGTCACACAAACAATTTGAGTTCATCTTTCGATGTCATCCATCTTATTTCAAAGATTTACAAGATCGGGTATGTTATATATATACAAATATACATATATATTACTTTATTGTTAATTATTTTACCATACTAATAATTGCTTTAAATATATGACAAGGAAAATTGTGCATCATTAATACAGCAGTTTATTGACACTTTTAAAGATCGTGCTTATATATTTATAGTACTAGCTTTACCTTTATGGGCACGACCGAAAAATCACCACCTTTACCAATATAAGAAACTATTTATCTAATATTATTTCAATAATTTATACAAACTGTGGGGTTAACACACTAGTATTCTATATATTTAACATCAGTGTAAAATTTCCAAATTTACAGAATTTTAAAATTATTTAGGCATATATATATATATAATTAATATTTTTGTACAGATTTTTTTTATTATTATTATTATTATGGTACGGTTTTTGTACAATGACTAAGTGGGTTTAGTAGGTTTACAGTTTTAATTAGTGAGTGAGTGGGTTTACATATTTACTCATTTTTATTCGCTTTTTATAAGAAATCATATATAACAGTTTTATTTTTTCTATATTCACTTTTGCATATATACTGTTTTTTCCTTACTTTCATTGCTCACATCCCACCCTCCAAAGCTACCGCCGGAGACATCTCTTCCTCCATAACAAAAGTTGGGTCAACTATAAATATTTTATTTTTTATACTTTTCTTTTTGTTTTTCCTTTTTATAAATAATTTAATATAATAATATTTATATTTTGCAGGTCTAATTTATTTTGCAAGTAATTCTTTTATTGGTAAAATTAATATTTATTATTGTTAATTGCTAAATCATTTAAATTTTTATTTTTTATTTCCTGTTATTTTGGATGTTATCGAATTTTTCTAGGGACATTCTAAATGTATATTTCGAAATATATAAATATTTTATTATTTCTATTTTATACCGTATATATATTTTCTCTTATTGTATGAGGAATGAACTCTTTACTATAAATTTAACTAGGTGAGTAATTATTTTATTTACTTAATTTTAAATTAAAATTTATTGTTATTGTTCTTCTACCTTAAAAATTTCATATAAATTACACTTACAAACACTGGTGGATCACTAGTTCAATTATATATTGTCTTTCTCAGTATATATTAAGGAAACTTCTAGTATTGTGATTTTCAAAACTTGAGTTTTGTTTATATTTGTTTTCAAATCACTTTTGTACTCCCTCGGTCTCAAATATCGTGCAATATTTGTGTTTGATACGGAAATTTACGTGGGAAATATTAAGTATGATAATATGAGATAATTTGATTGGAGAAAAAATAATTATTTATTTTTTTTATTTGAGTGATGAGATGGGATACAGTGAAAAGTGAAGTGTATTATTTATTGATAGTATTTTAAAAAATAATAATCTATCACATTAAATAATTATGTTTTCAGATTTCTTATCAACCTTTACATTCTAAAAAACTCAAGTTTGTGAATATTTCAAATAATCAAGATTAAAAAAGTTTATTACTCCAAAAGAAGGGATGAGATGATTGGTTATAGCAAGTCTGGTTATGATCACTGGGGTGGTTATTCAAAAGAATCCTCCAAGCATACTGAAAATACTCTTCAAGAAGGCAGACAGACTTACTAAACACATCGTGGAGATCCATTTATGGCTTCTTTTTCTTCATCTAAACCTTCTTCATCTCGTCATGCGGTAAGTTCTCTTGACATTCCTTACTTCCCACTCTTATCTCCATATCTGTTTCTTTCGATCTTGATAACTTTCAATACATTGTATCCTTCTTCCAACCTGTTCCTTTTCTTAGTTTTTGGGGGGTTTGATTTTTAAGTGCTTCTTGATGTGATGGAGTTGCTGAAATTGTAGTTTGCCATGAATATTTTGTCCGATTTGATTTGCACATTCCGCCTGAATCATCTTGTCTCAATGCAATTCGTTTTCAGTTTCTTGAGAATATGCTATCGTGTTCAAAAGATTGTCTGTTGCAATTTCTTGAATTTCAGTGCTACTGGGAGCATAGTTTTACTTATGTGCTGATCTTTGGACATATTGAATCCGAGAACAGATGAAGTTAACCCCAAGAATCTGGTCATAAGTCTGTCAAAAATCTTAATTGGATTCTCACAACACGGCCCGACAATTCTTGTTAAAATAGAATTTATTTTTGGATTGCCTAAGATCATTGTAGCTTGATGGAATGATTGTATTATGCTGCAGTTTTCTTACATTTCAGTGCATCGAACATGGTTTTCGTTTGAATGCAGGTTAATTTTAGCGTTATATATATATATGCTGATTCCATGTTGCTAAATGTTGTGGCAGAGAAGACGTGATAGGGAGCCTGCATACATTGTGGACGACGAAATGCTGCCCTCAGCTATTTCCATTCCGTCGTCTTGCTTACCGAAAGTTGATGTCATGGCCATTCCCCAGTACCCGAATGTCATTGCATCAGCACCGCCAGAAAGGTTTTCGGTTCTTTTTAGGATAAATGCGCCATCAATGTCAGAATATCCAGATTATCATCCCCTGAAGCGTGCTGCTATTGATCTTGTCCTAGTACTGGATTTTAATGGATACATCGACAAGAAATCATTGAAACACGTCAGAAAGGTTGTTTGTTATGTTATAGATCACTTGAGTTCCTCGGACCGGCTTTCCATAGTGTCGTCTTACCCTAAAGATAAGAAGGTTTTACCCCTCTGTTTAATGACCGAGCAAGGAAAGGAAAGCGCCAAACAAACTGTTAGTAAACTTATCTTTACAAAAGGTCCAATTGACGCTGTAAAAGTTCTAAAGATAGCAGCTCGGATTCTCGAGAAAAGGAGATATAAGAACGCAGTAGCATTCATTATGCTCTTGTCTGATAGGAGAGATCAGTGCATCATACAGAATCAAGGATCGAGTAACGGAGAAAAGGCTATAGAGTACCTGGATAACTTACCATATTCGATCTATCCTCAGTTCTCAAAAGAGATGAATCGTAATTTCTTCAAATATGACATCTTTCCGGTGTACGCCTTCGGTATTGGTCCATACCACAATCCAGTTGGGCTGCACGCATTATGTTCGGCCACTGGAGGTACTTACTCATCGTTGGAAACCTCCGAGCTTCTCCTAGACGCAATCGCCTGCTGCCTCGGAGGCCTTCTCAGCGTAGTGACACTAGAGTTTAGTCTGACGCTTACACAAGGAACGGTTGATGTTGAGATTCTCGAACTCAATTCCGGGGACTTCTACAGTATCATTCGCGATATGGAAGGGACTTCAGCCGATATCAAAGTGGGGAACATTTTGGCCGATGAGGCGAAAGAGTTTCTAATCCAAGTATCACTCCCTAAACATGAAATTGATGTCCTTCAATCTGAATCGATCCTAACCTTTCGCTGGGCATACAAAGATGCAGTGACATATAGCGGTACAGAAGTTCAATATTTTCATGCGGTCGACATAGGTCGACCACAACGTTTGCCCGGGCCTTTGTTTCACTACGAAAGCATCCAAGTTACGCGACAGAGTATTTGCCTCCTTGTTGCAGACAGCATTAGCAAGGCCTTAAATATGGCGGAAGCTAGCGGAGTGAAATCTGCACGAAAGTTTCTATTAGACATAGAATCAGAAATAACCGAGAGGGGTTCTGTGGACCACAGCCATAGTCTGTGTCGTTGGATTCTGGATGGAATGCGTGAAGTAGTACGAAGAATGGAGAGAGGTGAGCTGGGATTTAAAAGAGGCGGGCACGCATATGCTCTATCGATTCTGAGTTCTTACGACACACAGAGGACCACGATTACTGGCAGCCCAGTGGATCTCCAGGATCATCCATTCCAGACACCCAATACAATTGAAATGGTGAGGAAGTCGAGATACGCGCAAGGCATTCGTAGGTAATGTTAGTTCTTCGTGATAATCGAAGAGTCTTTTTCATTCATTTTTTCGAATTCGTTTCTTTAGCATTTCAGTTGATGGTTTTTTGTTCGACACAATATGAGATGTCTCAGCTAGTGAAGGCATTGAAAGAGCATCGTTTCATTTTGTGCCTTGTTTCTTGTCTTTGGTCTTCAAGATCTCTGTGCTTAATTTTCACTACAAAAATGGGTATTGGGATGGAATTTGGTGACATTCGCCAGGTCCATGCATCCCTTCATATATGAAGATAGGGACTGAACTTATCTTTTAAACATAATAGAGACTTGAATTAAAGATGAAAATTGAATTATAGATTTTATAGCAACTTCCCCAATTTTTAAAATAAAAATAATAGTATAAGATATTTGAAAAATAAACATTCTTTTATAAATATTAGTTTAAAAAAAAAATTAGTGCATTAACATAGCAAACGGTTTTTATTAGATTATTCTTTTCTAGCGACCAATACTTTGTCCACTGATTTCGACACATCCAATGGAAAAACATCTGTTTTGTGTCATCTGGAGAGACAGTTGCAATAATTTGATTGGACTGTTTGTCGCAAATGGCGGATGATGCATTGTCAAACACAATATAATACCCACTTGAGATCAATTGTCCGACACTTAGCAGATTATGGGCTAAGGTTGGGACTTTGCACATTGTGGAGATTTCTAACATGATGGAAATTGTTCATTTTCCTTCCATCGAGCATTTCATTTCCATCTCCAAGTCGAACCAGTTTGCATTTCATCAAGTTCTTTGAATAGAGATTTGGCACCCGACATGTGGTTTGAGCGGCCACTATCTAGAAAATATAAACAAATTGCCCGGATCCTTTGCTCCTTTCGTATATTTACTTGTTTTGTTCATCTATTTTACTCCAACAATCAATATTTTTGTGCCTCATCATGTTGCAATATGTGCACAGAATGTTGTTTCTAAAATGGTGTGGTTCAAATTACTTGCCTCTACCTGCACTATCTCTTCGTTCTTGAAATCCACCTCTTCCTATGCCATAAGTTACCTAAAAATATGTATTTTCTTAGGAGAAAGAATCCCCTTGTACTTGAATGGCTCTTTCCTCAGACTTTTCATGTGATCCCCGAAAGTGGGCACGGGGTAAATCTCGGGCCGAACCTAATACCCTACATACTAGGTCCGACAAGGCAAGTCACACTAGGCGAACCATGTGGGGCAGGTGACTGAGGCGTCGTCGGGGTTTGAACCCATGATCTCACCAGATCATCTCTTACGGGAGGCGGCCGCTACCAGGAAGTGTGCATTGGAGAAACCCCCGGCCGAACCTAATATCCTGCAAACTAGGCCCGACAAGCAAGTCACACTAGGCAAACCATGTGTGGCAGGTGACCAAGAGGCGTCGGGGTTTGAACCCATGACCTTATGGTCACAGGTCCCACCCACACCACTAGGTCATCCCTTACGGGACTACCATGGCGTAGTTGTTTATCAAGTTGATTATCAAATTTATTATGATAAATTATTGTGATTATCGAATTTATTTCGATAAATTATTATGATATTGAATTTTATTATTTTGATACTTATTTCATATTCACGTCATATAATAATTTTCCAACAGAAAGTTGGGAGAAGAATCGACAAGATGGGAAGAAGATCGGAGCTTATCACTGTTTCAGCGGAGGAGAAAGCTGGCGAGGTCTGTTCGGGACAACGTAATTGATTGCCGGAGCGAAGCCGCCAACCGATCAAGTTGCTACTTACGGTGAAATTCTGCGATCAAGAAGGCGGCTGTTTCTGGAGAAAGAGAGCTCCCAACTCCATTTCCGTTGTTCTCATCATCACCGAAGGAGCTGCTTGCTAATAGACGGAAATTATTTCGTGAGTAGTCGACGTCCATTGATTTCTTCAAAGAACTTTATCTTCGAAGCTGGAAATCAAAGCACGGAACATGAAGTTCGGTTTTCAGTTCAATTCAATTGCATGTTTTGGGCTGTTTGTTTGTTTTTGCTTCTAATTCCCATATTGATTTTAGTCTTTGATATATTTAATTTCTATTTTGATTGGATTATAATCATTTGAGTTTATGGATTTCTTCTGCCAATTAAATTGTATTTTTGTTTTAGAGTTTTTTTTCGATGAACCCATCTATCTGTGATATAAATTTACAACACATATAGGTATTCTTGCACAAATTCCTCCTCTTTCATTGCCAAAGTCCCGAAATCAGGACAAAGGGTCTGCAATTTGATAGTGATTACTTTCTTGTCGCCCAATTATTCTTACTATAGAATATCCTATGCTATCGTAGAGGATATTGTGGCTGCAATATGGAGGAAGACCTCATCCTCCAATGCCGATTGGATGAGTAATAACACTTTGGCATCTTTTACGGGATTATCTAGTAGCTGCTGCTAATCTCGATCTTCCAGAGCCAGATTTGGGTCGAAAAATCTATTTTCTACGAGTTCTCACAATTCTTGAAACTTCAATGGAAATTTTATCTTCAAACCCCATAGATATTACTTCTCTTCTTTGAATATCAAAATTGATGGTTGAATAGAAAAACCTCATTGGACATGTTTGTGTTGTGGAAAAGGATAAGACATAAACTCACTCTGATACCAAATTTGTTGGAAGAATTTTTAAGAGAAAAAAAAGGTGGGTTGTGGAGAAGGATAGACATAAACCCAAAAACCCATTCCGATACTAAATGAGCGGGCAGTGGAAATGAAAAGGCTTGAAGAACCTTGTGATATTTCATTAACATCTACTTGAAAACAGAAATTTCTATATTACAAAAGAATTAAAGAAAGGAATAACAAAAGTTGTAAATCTGCCTTAAAAGCACAATTAACTAGGCGGTCAGGGGAGGAGAGAATTTTCATCACTCCCCTAACCTCCACTAACTAAGAGTGCTTCCTCACAGAATTGGAGCTTTTGGAAATCGGACAAATTGGTTGCAAAGTAAACAGTTGAAAGTAGTTATTTTACAAAAGAAATTTCGCCTTATTTATAGAGTTTTTGGAATGGTAGTTGACAACAGTTGAACAGAGCAGCATTTGAGAGCGGTTGAAATGCTATTGCAACGGCTGGGCAGTTAGACAGTTGATCAGTTGGAACTGCTTTAACTCCCAGCTTGCTCTTTTTGCTAATCTAGATGGTTGGAGACAGATCTTCCTTGCTTTCCTGGACTTACCTGACTTGGCTGGAGAGCATCGGCACAACTCAAGCGGTGTTGTCCTCGTTGGCAAGGAATGAAATGATTGTACGATTGAGAGACTAACACTTGGTTAAATCTGGGCAACTTCAGCCTTGCTGATCAGCGGTGGATGTCTGGCCACTGGCTCAGGCACAAGCAGAATGCTTTGTCACTTGTCTCAGTAAGCGCCCTCGTTGGTCTTTCCATTCTAAGTCCAAATTCGGCCAAACCATCGCTTAAGTATAACCAAAACATTAATAATATCAACAAAAGAGTATTGGATCATAACAAGCAAAACAAATCAATAAAATATATCTTAAATCATATATTGTGATGATTTTCACATAAAAAAAAATCAAGAAATACACAGATTTATCAAATAGTAAATATGCTAATATTTAGAGTTATCAAGTAGCTTGTTGCTTGTAGAGGTCATTGCTCACCACGTTCCAACAATACCCAATGCTCGTGAGGAGAATAAATTCCATAACTACTTGTAGGATGCGATGTGGCATGACCACTTTCACATGCAGTGATCGTGCTACATACTTTCTTGCATAGGGATGGCAATCGGGTGGGTTCAGAATTAATTTTGCAGGCCCCATAACCCATCTCTGCCTTAAATACGCCCGGTCGAGGCCAATTCGGAAAAACCTGTTTTGTTTTATAAAATATATAAAATTTTATGGGCATTTAATATAATATAATAAAAAAACCAAATTTAAAAAATTTAAAATCTCATTCACAATCCGATAATATAATTTGCATTGTTATGACATTAGTGTAACATGTGATGAAAAAATTATAAATTTGAAGATAAATACATTAAAAATAGTGAAAATTTTAAAATAATAAATAATAAAAAAGATGTCGATATAAAATTAGAAATTAGGTAATATAAATAATTATAAAATATATAGTATTAATTTGATTGGGTTGTTGAGCAAACCCGTAACCCACCTCAGATTTAGTTTGATTTAAATTATTAAAATACATAGATTTAGTTTGATTTAAATAATTATTGGTCATAAATCCAACCCCTGCGCCACCAGGCCATCCTTTACTGGACAATTGTCATTCTTACTCTTGCAAGTCCATTATATTGATAGAACTGTGCAATTATTGATATATGCGATATTAGATAAATATTTTGCTATATTTTAGACGGTTTTTGGATGCGAATTTTGTATATATGCTCCTAATGGTGTGTTTTGAATTTTCTACTAGACGTTGAGGAGTTGGCAAGTTTTGGGCATATTGGAGAGAAAAGCAGAACACAGAAAGTCCTTAGACGTGATCACGAAGCAGAAAAAAAATAAAAATTGCAAAAACATCTTGCGGGATTAATTAGCAATTTCAGAATTGTTTGGTTTAAAGTGCAAAGGGGATCTTGGGATGGACTTGAAAAGACACGAATTTTTTCGATTGAAGAGGAGAAGAGAAGGGGACTACCACGTTCTCTACCACGATCTCACCTACAACCCATTTCTGAAAGAGAAGAGAAGCGAAGGAAGAACACTACGTACGGGAACTTTGAAGAGCAACGCAGAAGAACTTCCGGGCACCTTTTTCTTCATTTTTCGAATTAGTTTGTTGTCCATTTTTAAACTTGAAGGCATGATGAACTCTTTGATTTATTTTATGTTTTTAATTGCTATGGATTGCGAGTAGTTTCATTTCTAGTGTAGGTATGAATTGATGTTCGGGAATGAAATTGTGAGACTTGGTTTCGATTAAAATTGGTGTTCATCGATGTTGAGTATTTTTAATTCTTCTAATTGATGAGTTTAGAAATCTT